CCCCAAAACCCCAAAACCCCAAAACCCCACTAAGAGTAATAAATTCTAAATCAAGATGTTGATTAATAGTTTAATAAAAGTTAAATGTATAATTAACGAAAAGTAATCACTACAAAACTATATAATAGAGGAGAAGAAAACAAGTAACCTTTAAGAGTAGTATAGGTTGTGAAATTTCATGTTCAATCGAACAAGCTGAAATCAAGTTGCTTGAATTGTGAGTTGTTTATGTACAATTAATGTTCTTTGTTGTCCTTCATTGGAGAAGGACTGAATAGATTCCAGTTAGATTAGAATGCCTTACTTGGACTTTTAAATTACCTTATTGGGGAACTCTTTATAATCGTTTACATTCTGAGTTGATAATTATTTGATCCAGGCAACGGTCCAGTGTAGTGGCATGATTCATATTTCCAAGGAGAGCAATGGTTGAATGGTTGGGGTTCAAACAATGCTTGCGGGCTTTTATTAATGGAAGTTATCCAAGATTGATTACTATCAGCTCCTGTAGATCTTGAGTAGGATGCTTTAGGTGTTGTAACTTCATTTATTTCATCAAACTCTTTGCATTGTTTGATTGATATTAGATCTTTTGGAGCCTTTTTCTAGTTAGGTAGAGGAGTTTAAAACGATGAAGTTTTACTTCCATTTTGAATTTCCTTCTTGGTAGTGATTATCTGAGGAGATTTTGAATTTGAATTTGCAGAGCTGTTGATGTTACTAAAAGTAGATCTGATTTTTTATCTTTTTTCTAGATCACTTTTTACAAGTTCTAATGCCATCTTATTCACATCAAGCCCAAGTAAATTACAAATATTGTCATCATGTTCAAACTCGTCCAACTTGCCCCACTTTTTACAGCAGTACCCTCCAAACTCATCTCTACTTACTTCAGCGTCTTGCTTGTCGAAGTCAGCATTAAATTTCTTTCTTTAATCCCAATTCCATTTGTATACCTAGCTTTCACTTAAACCAGTTTTATCGGAGAGATCAGCCACTTTTTCCTTTGTCCACTCGGGATTTACCCTGAACTCAATTATAAGTTCTTGAATTTGATTTTCTGACTTCCTAATTCTATTCTACTATCTCTTCCTCTTACCTAGACTTGATCCTTTGCCTTTCTTCTTAAACTTCCTCTTTTCCGGTGCTTAGTGATCGACTATATATTCTTTCAGAAGTGGTATTGATTGTATGCTGTTCAAATTATGATCAGTCCTCGATTCAAATTGTAAACTTGATCTGGTGCTCTCAGAAAATGTTGAAAGACTTGACTGTCCAGAGCAGAACTTTTCGAAATTGACGCTTAACTTGTACCCTTGTACATTATGGAAAGCTGAGTCTTGAGAATTCATGATTTCTTATGGATTTATTCTTCTTTTTTGTTCCATGAGTCGGTTGTTCTTTGTAATGTTATTTTAGTTTTTAAATTCAGATTATCTGTTTATCAAACTTTTCGCAATTTATTTCAAATTAGCGCCCATTTCGTTTATTCCGATCGGGGGCTTAAGAAAAACATTCGCACACACTTAATTTATATATATGAATGTACCAGTCGCTCTACAGTATACTAAAATCTCTCTCACGGGGTTTTGGGGTTTTGGGGTTTTGGGG